CACACTTACTGGATTTTCAGTTTCTCTTCCAAGCTCTGATGCTGAAAGAGACCTGAGCTGGATTAGAATCCTTCCTTTCCCCACATTTGTTGCAGCCATAGGGTTTCTCTCCAGTATGAAATCTCCAATTCTGACTGAAGCTTTTTAAGCATACAGTACACTTGCACAGTTTCTCTCCAGTATGAATCCTCTGATACTAAGTTTTGAGCTTTGAATGAAAGATTGACTGCCATTATCACACAAGTAGAGTCTCTCACCAGAATGAATTTTCTGATGTTGCCTGAGCTCAGAATTGAATCTGAACCTTCTTCCACAAATGACACATTTGTGGGTTCTTCTTCCTGAATAATCATTCTCTTGGGTAGGAAAGTCTGAGTTTAGACTGACATTGCTCCTATGCTCATCACATCCCAGGGTTCTTGCTCCTGTGGAATTTTCCTTATGGAGCATGGTCACTTGCCAGTAAAATAAGAGAGTTCCTTAGGGAGGGTCTTGGAGGAATCTAACCTGAGCCAGTGTGACAAGCTTTCCCTAAAGCAGGCTCCTGAGGACCATTCCTGGGGACCATTCTCGGTGCCAATAAGACACAAACATCTGACATTTTTTCGCTCACAAAATAAGATGGCTTGTCTCCACCTTCATTGGAGAATGATGTTTTGATTTAGGTTGTGTATGCGAATCTTCTCCTACTCAAACGTGAGTTCACCGAAAGCAGAGGCTATGATGTTTCTGTCCTGACGTTCTCTGTCTCATCAGGCAAAGGAGGCTTTGCATTCTGTCCCTACGTGTCCGACACACAAGAAACACAGACAAACTCCACAGCAGCTCATCGGCTGAACTGGCGAGCTAGCACTGTGGCCACGTGTAGTGCCTCTATCCAAGACTGAGAAAGGAGGCAGGTGTTGGCTCCAGGGTGGTGGTTCCAGTCACTTCCCAACTACTAAGTCTCCTTGCTTGGCCTCAGTGCTGGTCCTTGTAATCTCACCATCAGTTGCAGACCATGAGCTTTATCATGAAGGAGTAGAAAGTCAGGTGGGAGGGAAAACACAAGGGCCCAATCAGAAATATCCTGTCCTCTCGGTCCCTCCGGGGACACCACAAGGGTATCCAAGTTGGATGCCAGGGGAGGGGCTAGCACAGAAACTCTGGCCCCAGGCATGGTGAAAAGCATGGCTGATGGGGCAGAAGCACCAAGATTAACCTCATCGTTCTGTTTGAAATATTCTCTAATTTCTCTTGTAATTTCTTCAGTGACCTAAGGATTAGTAAGAAATATGTTGTTTAATTTCCAAATATTTGATATTTACTTAGATATCTTATTATTGATTTGTAATATAATGCTATTAGATTCAGAGAATATACTCTGCATTCTTTAAACTCTTTTAATGTTGTCTTTTATAGATTAGCATGTAGTCTATCTTGGTGACCACAGTGATAGTACTTGAAAATAATGTGCATTCTGCAGTTGTAGGGCGCAGTATTCTATAACTATCAATCAGGATGATGCAGCAGCTAGTTTTCTTCAGATCATCTGTGTCTTTAGTGGTTTTTTACCTAGTTGTTTCTATCAATTGCTCAGAGGTGGTTAAAATCCCCTGTAAAAATTGTAATGGTACAATTGCTTTTTTCTTCCTTTAATTCTGTCAATTATTTTGAAGCTTTGTTATTAGACACATACACATAACTGTTATGTCTTCCTAATGAAGTGACTCATATCATTCAGAATTGTTCTTTCTTCCCTCTGTCTTGAAGTCTATTTCATTTGATATTACTCCATTTTCCTCTTCCTTGTTGAGTATAATTACAATAGAGACTTTAAAGTGCTTGTCTAATAATTTCATCTACGGGTGAATTATGGTACGTGAATTACATCTCAATAAAAAAATTTAAAATTTGAAAGATGGGTAGGATTAAGAATAGTCAAGGAAAGAATAGAGGTCTAAGGGGCTGGCCTTCTGGCCGAGTGGTTAAGTTCGCGCGCTCCACTGCAGGCGGCTCAGTGTTTCGTTGGTTCGAATCCTGGGCGCGGACATGGCATTGCTCATCAAACCACGCTGAGGCAGCGTCCCACATGCCACAACTAGAAAGACCCACAATGAAGAATTTACAACTATGTGCTGGGGGGCTTTGGGGAGAAAAAGGAAAAAATAAAATCTTAAAAAAAAAAAAGGAATACAGGTCTAAGAATCTAGATGAGGCCTAGAGGGAGGCAGGGAACAGAGATGCCATGAGCAAAGGAAGAGAGGGAGCAAGCCCCAGACATGGCTGGGCTGGAGCAACTGGCAGGAGGGAAAGGAAGTCAGTGGTGGAACAGAGGGCAGAGGTGTGGCAGCATCCTGTGGATGGTTCTGAAAGCAAACAGAAGAACAGAGACACTCTTCTATAGAGCTGTAGGTCATGCCAGATGAAACACTCATGCCTCCTCTCTCAGTCATATTTTGTGGTGAGAATAACTAAGTGCAAAATTCATTTCATGGATAAAATTTCCACAGAACAGGTTCTCAAATATTGAGAACAAGTTAAATTTCCAATAACTGAGAAATAGTGGTATGGAATAGTGAAAATCTGTGAATGTTTGTAACCTGTAAAGAGTCATAGATTTGAATGTGAATATTAGTGGTTTCTCCATCTTTAAAAGCATGATGCTGAGGCAGTCACTAGTTTTAATATGCTACGATTTTATCATTAAAATCTGTCAAAGATGCACACAGACCAAAATTATTAATTAAATTCCAATGATAGGAATAACTGAATGTTCATTAACTGATAAATGAATAAACAAAATGTGGTATATCTACACAATGGAGTATTATTCTACCATAAATAATAATGAAAATATTACTGCTTTGGGCTATGACATGGATGAACCTTGAAAATATACGCTAAGTGAAAGAAAACAGACACAAAAGACCACATATTATATGATTTCATTTATATGAAAGGTACAGAATAGTCAAATTCTTAGAGACAAAAAGCAGATTAGCGGTTGTCAGGGGCTGAGGGAGGGGAGAATGGGGAGTGACTCCTAACAGGTATGGGGTTTCCTTGGTGGGTAATGAAAACATGAGGGTTGCACAGCTTTGTCAACATACTAAAATCTACAGAATTGTACACTTTAAAAGGGCAAATTTTATTGGATATAAATTATACCTCAGTAAAAAATTTTTTAAATGTTTTAATTCCAGTGATAGGTAAACCCCTAAAAAAGTTGGGAATCTTATCAGAATGGAGTCTGTGCTGTAGATATCATTGTTAGTAGACCATCAAAGGCTCCTGCACACAGCAGACATTCAAAACAATTTTAAAGAGTCAGTGAAGGAGTGCTAGCTAATTTCTTACACGTTAACAGCCTGTAGGCACAGCCCCCTTCTGTATCACAACTCTAATGCATATTCCAATTTCCCCTCTCAGGCAAAGGCCCTTGGGAGAAATGCCTAACTGTCATGTTGTATATATAAGTCAGAATATTCCATATAATTCAGATGTGACATACAACAAAGTACCTGGAAATGCGATTTGAAAAACTCTAAAATATGTAATTTTTATGCCTCAAAATAACAAACAGCAAAACAAACAAACCCCTTTGTTTTTTAGTTTTTTCAAAATAATGGTCCCTTTATAAAATAAGTATAAGTGCCAGATACTCTTACAGGTATGGAAACTTCATCTTAAAAAACTAAGCCAGTCAGATGCTTATGCCCTGGCATCCAGGAAAATAATGAATATTGAGAGATGTTGGTCATAGACAGGATGAGGTTCAAGGTGTGCTAAGGATCCCACAGGAAGTGGCAGAGTAGAGACAGGAAAAGTAAGCCAGTACAATGTTCCACTTCAGCCAAGAATGCTTCTCTATTAACATCATAAATGGTAAAGTGCAATGTACAAAAGAAAAGCTGTCCCTGTTACTTTAGGGAACATGGCATGCATTAACATACACACTTTCTCTCAAAGGTAGAAAGATTTGACAATTGAGGGACACAGAGCTCTCAATGATATTCTGTTAACATCAAAAACCAATCATTTTAGGGAGCCGGCCCCGTAGCTGAGTGGTTGGGTTCATATGCTCCACTTCGGCGGCCCAGGGTTTCACCAGTTTGGATCCTGGGCACAGACATCAGGCACCGTTCATCAGGCCATGCTGAGGTGGCATCCCACATGCCACAACTAGAAGGACCCACAACTAAAAATATACAGCTATGTGCTGGGGGGCTTTGGGGAGAGAAAGGAAAAATAAAATCTAAAATAACCCCAATCATTTTAAACTTATATAGTAACAGACAAATATCCACCATATAAGCTCAGTATTAATATCAAGTTCACATCTTCTTGCAAAAAAATTCTACACTGGACATATTTATAGGACAGACAATGCAAAACTTACACTATTTTGTGTAATTGATATAATTTACACATAAGTATCCTGCCTGGCATCTGTTTAGGTCGTCAGTAAACATCAACTTTACTCGATTATGTCAAATTCACAGGCTACCTAGTCTTAGGGATTATAAAATCTTTCCTTTAGGACATATATTTATTCAGGTAGTATTTATTTCCAATCCTTGATTTTAACATGGCAAACTCCTTCTCAAAATCCTTCAAAACCCAGCTTGCTCCAAGTTCAAGTCCACACTCCTCAGCCTGGCTTCCAGGATTCTGGCTGAACTGTCTCCCTCCAGTCTCAGGGGGATGCAGGCAAAGCCTTCAGGTGCCAGACAAGTAATGAGTGAGCAGAGCAGGGGTCTCGGTCTCAGGGTCAAAGGGCACAAGGAGGTGTGACTAAACTATGGAGATGCTGTTTGGCTCCAGCTACTTGTCATCCACCAAGAGTGGGGACTCAAAGACAGTGGGGAACAATCTATTCTCAGAGAAATTGGCAATCCAGACCTTTAGGGTAATCTACAAATTTTTAAGTGTAGAAAACTCATTTAAATACAAAGCACGGGCTGGCCAAACCAAATCTATCCACATGTCACAAGCAAATAGAATGTCAGCATCCTCACCTCTACAGAGAAACCAACGTGACTCAAGGCCACTGGCTGCTTCAAGCTTCCCACGTGGTGAGGGACAGTCCATTGGTCACCCAGTGTCTGAGACGCAATAGGCTTCCTGCCACATCCCCACAAGAATGCCTTCCCTCAGCTCTTCAATTTGCCCAGTCCATCAGGGGCAGCTCAGGGAACTCCTCCTTTAAAGACTTCCTTCACTTTTTTTGGCCTTGGGACTTGCTGAGCACATGAGAATGAATGTCCTGTATTTTCATTTTGACTGCTCAGGCTGAGCAGTCTGTGCTGATAACAGTTTATTACTTGGTGAATTCCTGAGTCACGAATGGAGTAGGGAAGTCTGAGAGAGGGCTCCAGGTAAGATGGACCATACCTCCAAGATCAGGGCTGGGTATGGCCTAACACCAACAAGGCAGCTCCAAGACAAGAAAAGGCAATGGGTCCATCCTGCAAGACCTAGGAAGAAAGGTGAGGACTTACCTCGTCTGTGGCTGTCAGGAGCCCTGGGGCCATATTCCTGGTCTCCTGAGTGCTCCGCCTGGAGGAGAGTCAAGTTGCAGAGGCAGATCTAGGGAAAAAGAAGAGAGGTAAGAGGGATGCTGAGGAGGAGCATTGTCTGACCAGCCTCCCAGGTCAGCAGAGGAGAGGGGGAGTAAGGAAGGCAGGTTGCAGAGGGCATCAGAGCAGCCCACTCTTAAGCAGTAACCAGTGTCCTGTAGGTAAGGCCCCCAGAGCTGGAACAGCAGCAGGCTTGGCCTCAATCTCTGGTTGGGAAATGAAGCCCCCAGCAGCTGGGAAAGACTCTGTCACTGTGTGGACTCTGTTAAGAGGAAAAGGGCGTCAGAGTGCCCACAGGTAAGCATTCACATTGAGAAGTAAAGTGACCTATCATAGTGAAAACAGAAGCTACCCATCCGTATCTGCCCTGAGGCCAAAGGATGAGGCCCAGGAAATTCAAAACAGAAGGAGCACTACAGGACTCCACAGAATGGCGACCTGGGGGAGACCTGAAGCAGGGGGAAGCCATAACCTGGTTGCACCCTCCTCTCCACTTAAATATCCAAGATTAGTTCCCAAAATTTGAAATGTGACTTGAAATTTAAGAATGGGCAGTCAGCAAATGGCTCAGTCTTCAATAAGTCAATTTCGTAAAGAAATTTTTAAAAGAGGAGATGTTCCTTAGTGAAAAGATACTTAAGAGAGAAATCATTCTTCAGATGTCATCTACAGGCCTTGACTGGGCCCTAGTTTGCACAAATGAACTGAAAAACGTTTGGGGACTACAAAGGACAGTTCAATATGAACTGTGTATTAGATGATGTTAGAGAATTATTGTAAACATCGTTAGACGTGACCATGATATTCTGGATATAGAGGAAAACAACAGTCATCATTAAGAAACGATGCTTAAGTACTGAGGAGTGAATTAACATATTTACAATTTTTTTTAAATGTGAAGCTTTTGACAAGTTAATAGCATTAAAAGAGGGTGGAGAGCTCTTATCGAATAAAAGGAGACCTAAGAGGCACATCAATCAAATGCAATGTGTGGACCTTGTTAAGGCATTTTTGAGGCAATTGAGGAACTCTGAACACTGATTAGATATTAGATGATATTAAGGAATCAATATTAATTTTATTAGGTTTAGGTTAAGAAGGGGCTGCACTGATGCACCCATGGCACAGTGCTTAAGTTTGGTGCACTCCACTTTGGTGGCCCGGGTTCATGGGTTTGTGGGTTTGGATCCTGGGTGCAGACCTTTACCACTTGTCAGCCATGCTGTGGTGGCGACTGACATATACAGTGGACGAAGACTGGCAACAGATGTTAGCTCAGGGCTAATCTTCCTCAGCAAAAAAAGAAAAAAATAATAATGAGCTTCACTGATACCCTCTGCAAATAATTGTGGCTACGCTTTAAAAAAACAGAGTGCAAAATCTATAGCTAACATCATATTTAATGGTGAGAAACTAGATGCTGTCTTCATAAGATCAGAAACAAGGTAAGGATATCTTCTCTCACCACGCATGTTCAACATCACACTGGAAGTCCTAGCTAATGTAAGACAAGAAAAGGCAATAAAAGGTACACAGATTGGGAACGGAGAAACAAAACTGTCTTTGTCTGTGGATGAGCTGATTGTCTATGTAGAAAATCCCAAAGAATCAACACAAAATTTCTGAGACTAACAAGTGATTATATCAAGGCTGCAGGACACAAGGTTAATATACAAAACTCAACTGCTTTCCTATATACCAGCCACAAACAAATGGAATTAGCAATTAAAAGCACTACAACATCCATATTAGCATCCAGAAAAAGGAAATACTTAGGTCTAAGTCTAAAAAATAACTTTTGTATAAGATCTGTATGAGGAAAACTATAAAACTCTGCTGAAACAAATCAAAGATCTAAACAAATGGAGGTAGTCCATATTATGGACAGGGAGACTCAATATTGTTAAGATCCCAGTTCTTCCCAACTGGATCTATACGTTCACACAACCTCCATCAAAATCCCAGCAAGTTACTTCAAGGATAGCAACAAATTGGTTCTAAAATTTATATGGAACGGCAAAAGATCCCAAAGAGCCAACACAATACTGAAGAAGAATAACGAAGACTGACACAACCAGATTTCACAACCTACTACAAAGCTACAGTAATTAACAGAGTGTGATATAGGCAAAAGTTAATTAAAAAATAGACAAAAAGATCAATGGAACAAAACAGCACAGAAACAGACACACAAAGAACAAAGGAGCAAAGGAAATTAAAAAAATAACTCAATATGAATCATAGACCTAAAGGTAAAATGTGAAACTATAAAACTGGAAGGTAACATGTGAGAAAATCTAGGTGGCCTTGGGTTTGGCAATGTCCTTTCAGATATAACACCAAAAGTATAGTCCAGGAAAGAAAAGAATTGGTAAGTCAGGTTCTGTTAAGATTAAAAACTTCTGCTCTGCAAAAGATACTGGTAAGAAAATGAAAAGTAAACACATAGACTGGGAGAAAATACATGAAGAAAAAGAAGTGGAAAAGAGAAACAGAATCATAATCAGAGTTAAGAAAACTTGCTACACCTCTCAGTAAAATAAAAAGCAAATTGGGGTCGGCCCTGTGGCATAGTGGTTAAGTTTGCACACTCTGCTTCAGCAGCTTGGGTTCGCGGGTTCATATCCCAGGCATGGACCTACACCACTTGTCACTCATGCTGTGCCAGCAATCCACATATAAAATAGAGGAAGACTGGCAATGGATGTTAGCTCAGGGTGAATCTTCCTCAGCAAAAAATGCAATAAAAAATTTAAAAATGAAAAAATAAAAAGCAAATTTACAGTAATATCAGAGATTTGAAAAACACTATCAGGCAGTATTGATCTAATTGACATTTAAAGAACACTAAGCCCCACAACTGCAGAAGGTGCACACAGAACATTCACCAAGGTAAGTGAAATTCTGAGGCATATAAGTCACCAACTTCAAAGGACTAAAGTTTAAAAAGAGTATGTTCTTTGCCTGAGATGGAATTAAAGCAGAAATCAGTAACAGGAGGCTCTCTAGAAAAACCTCCAGAATGAGAAATTAAGCAACAGTGGTCTAAAAACAGATGGATGAAAGAAAAAATTCCAAGAGACATGAAGAGATATTTTGAACTGAATGATTCTAATAAACACAACATATTGGAACATATCACAACTAACAAAGCTTGTGACATGGAGCTGTTATGGGCTGTATTGCATCCTCTATCAAATCCATATGTGAAAGACCTCACTTCCAGTACCTTAGAATGCGACAGTATTTGGAGATAGGGTCTTTAAGTTAGAACGACTTTATCAGGCTGGGCTCTAATCCAGTGTAACTGGAGCCCTTATAAGAGGAAATCTGAACATAGATCTAGAGGGTAGACCACGTAAACACAGGGAGAAGATGGCCATGTACAAACCAAAGGCAGGCCTCGGAAGAAACCAACACTGCTGACACCTTGATCTTTAACCTCCAGCCTCCAGAACTGTGAGAAAATAAATTTCTGTTGCTTGAGCCCCCCAGTCTGTGATGCTGTTATGGCAGTCCTAGCAACTAATAGAGCAGCTAAAGCAGTTCTTAAATGGAAAGTTATAGCTTTAAACAAGTGCACCGAAAAAAAGGCTTTAACTAATTAAAAGAAACTCAACTCTTACCTTAAGTTTGGAAAGGAAGAGGAAAAAAAAAGAAGAAAGAATAAGTAATAAAGAAGAAAAATCAGTGACATAGAAATGAGAATTTGTAATTGAAATACAAAGGGAATTTAAAAAGCCAAAGATTGATTATATGAAAATGATTACAATTGCTAAACCCCAGGCCTGAAACTATAAATCTCCTAGAAGGAAACATGGAGAAAAGCTTCATGACATCAGAATGGGCAATAATTTCTTAGACAGAACACCAAAAGCCCGAGCAACAAAAGCAAAAATACACAAGTGAGACTACATTAAACTTAAGAACTTCTGTGCAGCAAAGAAACAATCAAAAGTGAAAAGGCAAGCTGTGGAATGGGAGAAAATAGATGCAAACCATAAACTCTGTTTTATTGTGCTTTGCAGACACTACATTTTTTTGTAAATTGAAAGTCTGTGGCAACTCTGTGTTGAGCAAGTCTATCAATGTTATTTTTCCAATAGCGTTTGCTCACTTTGTGTCTCTGTGCCACATTTTGGTAACTCTCACAATATTTCAAACTTTCTCATCATTGTTATATCTGTTAGGGTTATCTGTGATCAGTGATCTTAGATGTTACAATTACAATTTTTGGGGGCTCCACGAACCATGCCCATATAAGACAGTGAACTTAATGGATAAAGGTTGTGTATGTTCTGACTGCTCCCCCAACTGGCCATTCCCCTGTCTCCCTCTCTTGCCTCGGGCCTCCCTATTCCCCGAGACACAACAATATTGAAATTAGGCCAGTCAATAACCCTACAGTGGCCTGTAAGTGTTCAAGTGAAAGGAAGAGAGACACATTTCTCACTTTAAATCAGAAGCTTAGAATGAAGAGTGATGTCAGCATTATGGCCAAGTGAGTCCTTCCCTTAGACTCTCCCCTCTAAGATACAATAAAAAGGACATTCATAAGCCAACAGAGGACATTCACACAACACAAGACACGTCTGAGAGACCCACACACCCATACGTCTGAAGGTGGAGGTGCTGGACTCCCAGGGAAGAAGTGGAAGGAGGTAAGGGAATCTCCCCTCCCTCCCTAGGAGTGACCTAGGGCAGGGGACTGCAAGCGGCTCTAAGAAGCAGAGGAGAGGGACGGCTTTCCACGGAAATGCCTTCGCCCTCTGAACTGCCTCTCAGCTGTGTGGGTAAGCTCCACACAGAGGAGGCTAAGCTATAGCAGTGGTGTCTTCATCAAGCCAGGTCCCCAGGAGAGCAGATAGCGAGAATGCCCCCAGGATCACAAGGGGGAAACAAAGTGCCCCTTTTGCTGCCCAGCACACCAGCTGGGCCAGTCCACCAAAGCAAGGGACCCCTGTGAGAAGGCCTGCGCATACATCAGTAAAGTAACAGCTGCAAGCAGGC